ACAACACAACAACAACACAACAACAACACAACAACAACAACACGGCAACAAAACAATAACACGATGGCAACATGACAACAACACAACACTACAAAACAACAACAAAACGACAACAACAACACAAAACTACCAAATACCAACAAAGAAGTTTTGTAGATTTCTGAAAACATCCAATGAAATGTGTTTGTGTCGTTTTACTTAAATTTAAACCGTTTTCCATTTGATCCGTTTCTGGCCAGTCGGCCTCCTTTCACCTCATCGTTACCAGATTTGGAGCCATTTTTAGACAGTTTTGACCTTCTGGACTCATCTTGGGTCATTTGATTTTCTTTTTGTACATATTTAAGTCACTATTGGACAAATCTAACGTTTTCTTTAACTCTTATTGTCATTTATAGCGATGTGTGAGTCATTTTTAGGAAAAGTTCAAGTCACGTTACACACTTTGTCATTTAAAACACTTGCTGATCGTATTTTTAACACTCGTGGGACACGGGTTTTTGCTCTTTTCAATTCAAGCTTGAGTCGTTTTTTACACAATTTCTGTAATTCTGGATAAAAAACTGAATCATTTTGTGCAGATTTCGAGTTATTCTGAACAAGTTCTGAGTCATTTCGGAGACTTTGAAACAGCCGGTTGTGTTGTCGTGTTGTGTTGTTGCAGGTTCTTGGGGCTGCAGGTGGTGTTTGTTTGCGGCGCGCTGCTCTGCTTCCTGCTGACGGTCGTCGTCCTGCGGCGGCGGCGAGCTGAACTTCAGGAGCTGCAGCCGGACAACAAAGGAGGCTACGAGCTGGTGAACGAACACAAAGCTGCAGACGGCAGCAAAGAGGAGAACGGAACCAAGACCTGAAGAGACGACGCACAAACAGGAAGTAAACAAACAAACAAACTGAGGCTGGACAGACAGCAGGGACCCTGAGCGGCCGATCACACGTCGTGATCAACATGATTATTTTCTGGTCCGTACTGATGAAACACAATCACAGCATGAAAACAAGTCAAATCACCACAGAGCTCATGTGCAGAAACAGGAGGAGGAAAAACTCACAGTGGACAAAGTCTTCACCAGCAGGGCCTGAAACTACCAGCAAACACAGAAAGGCAGCATTTACTCCAAACACAACTTCAACAACTTCAGAGTGACACAAAACCACCACAAAGGTTCCTGTTTGTTCCTGATTTCTGTTTCTTCTGCAGCGACGTCATGTTTGATTAAATCTGAGCTTTTACTCTGGAAAAAATGATGTTTTTATACAAAAAGCTTTTTTTTTTATTAATCGATCTGAGCTGAAGTTTATTGGTTGATGATCACTTCTGCTCCAGTGTGTGTTTTATAAAATGCTTTTTATACTCGTTGGTTTTTTAAGCGGTGAGACAGAAGCTGAGTTTTATACAAGCTGTATTTTATGTGAATTTTCAGCGTTTTTCTGAGAGCACTCCGTGAATCCTTCTCTCGTCTTCGTTCACTGGACTTTATCTGCAGCACGAAAGCTTCTCAACCTGAAACTGTGAGCGTCCCGAAGTCTGAGCCTGAAGTTCAACAGAACCGATGCTTGTTTCTGTGAATATGTGAAACCACAATAAAGCTTTATTTTACTGCTCGTGTTGTGGCGTCGTTCTGGATCTGCTGAGAGTCACGTCCAAATCTGCTTCAGTCAATCTTCACTCACAGGATCGGTTTGGGCAAAAGCGTTCAGCTGTTCTGGACAAAGTCTGAATCGTTTTGGACAAAGTTTCTGAATCATTTTTCAATTTATGTGATTTTTTACAAATATCAATTAATTCTGGAGCTTTTTTTGACAAACTGAGTCATTTTAGAA